AATGTGCATACATATGTATGTACGTATGTATATGTAATTGTCGCAGAACTTGTCTTAGATGTGTTTTGTACCAAATTTCTAAACCATAATTTAAACGCAATAAAATTAACGCCCCTGGAAATTGTGAGTACGAAAATACATACATACATACATATTTGTATACAGGGTTATGTGATTTAAAATCCTTTTTGATTTAAAAAAAAAAAAATCGTTTCTGAAATATAGTTTATTTGTTATTTGATTCTTCAACTATAAAAAAAAGTATTTGTGATTTGATTTGCAGTGGAAAAAAACTCGAAATTTGTGCTTGCGCTACATGGAAAATCACGAATTAAATTGATTTCACAATATTTTTCTATTTGTCCAACGAATCAAGTCACAAATAAAATGATTTTTTTACTTGGATTATTTTTTTCCGACGAATGAAATCACAAATAAATGAAATCAAAAATAAAATTAATTTTTTTATTTGGTTGGTGAATTAAATCACAAAAAAAATACATTTTTTTATTTGCTTCGCGAATCAAATCACAAATAAAACGAATTTTTTTACTTGGTTGACGAATGAAATCTCAAATTTTATTTTTTATTTTTTGGACTAATGAAATCACAAATAAATTTAAATTTTTATTTTTCCGACGAATGAAATCAGAAATAAAATGATTTTTTTTTTTTTTTATTTGGTTGACGAATTAAATCACAAATAAATTAATTTTTTTCCCTGCTGAAGTCTAGAAAAAAGAAGTCTGATGAGGAGATGTGGTGATCTCCGAAATAGCTGCTATAACTTCTACCGCTTGGACTTTGTTGCTTTTTCAATTTTTCCTAATAAACAATCGTGGTACGAAGCTCAATAAAAATATTAAAAATTACATTTTTTTATTTGTCCGATGAAACAAATCACAAATAAAAAATGTATATTATTTAGCAGCCCTGGTTGTCTACCACAAGCGTAAATGGAGGGATTAAGGGCAATGCCAATCGGCCATATGAAAGTCAATAATGGGCCAATCAATCGCTTTGATCCCCCCATGGCACCGAGGTATATATGTATGTACGCCATTGACCAGGCGACAAAGACTAGGCGATTCTTATCAGCTACACTAATAACATTTACCACACTTCGACTATCAGTAATTATTTCGTAACATGATGGTGTTTGCAATAAATACACGATGAAAAAAGTTAAAGCCATTGAATTGAATTATTACAGACACCTGCCTATGAATAAAAGATAATACTCGTTATTATGTCAACACAAATAATATTTCATAAAGGCAGTGTCACACGATTGGGCATCTGCCCAAAATTTGGTGCAAATTTTATCCCCATCGTCTGAATGCACAAATACTTTTCTTTATCCCAATCACGAAAACAAATTTGTTCAAATTTTTCAATAGAAGTGCGCTGTGTTATACCAATCGTGTAACTACAAAAAAAAAAAAAAAAAAATCGTCCCAATTTTTTCATTTTGTACCAATAGCCCAATATAAAAAATATACAAATCTGTACAAATATACCAATCGTGTGACAATGGCTTAAGGTTTAATGCAGAGTTGGGCAGAGTATTTTTTAAGCTCAAGTATTATACAATTCACAAAGATAGTTTAAACTTTTTTTACGTTATAATTTAATTAATTTCACACATAAATAAACAATGATTTGTTTTTTCATTTTCCAAGGAGTAGGTTTTTCATTTATTGCTGCAATTTCATCCTCGTGAATCGCTCAGTCTCACTGCTGCCTTAGTTATCCTGTCAGTAGTTTTCTTCAGGGACCGAAAATAACTGTTATCTCAAATTTGCAAATTGAAAACGTTGCCCAAATTCTGAAATTTAACGAAAACGTTGCTTCATAACAGTTATTAAACGAAAAATATGTTTCCCTTTCCGATAAGAGTTATTTCCCAACGTTTATTTTTTACCTTGCTTGATAACAGTTATTGCCCGACGTTTATTTTTACGTTGCTTGATAACAGTTCATCAATATACTAAAATTACAACATTTAACACACCACGTAAAAAATAAACGTTGCACAATAACTCTTATCAAGCAACGTAAAAAATAAACGTTGGGAAGTAGTAAGTGTTCCCACAGACCAAATCGAAGAGAAACATAAGGAGCTGAATAGCTCTTCTTTTTTCTACAGACAGCAAGTTTATTAGTTGACAGCGGGCAGCATAAGATGGAAGCGGGTCGGAAAAATTGAAAGCAAATAGAACAAAGAAATGTGCCTTTGGGAGTAAGTAGCACACATGGTTTACAAAAGTAAAACCCGAACCAAAAACTACACCCAAATTAACGAAATATTTGTCCACAGTGATTAAAATAGAATAATCTGAGAGGAATTTACAAAGGGGTCTAGAAAGTGAGATATGGAAAAATATTTTTTTTTT